CCACTTAGTAAACTTTTACGTACAGGCAAAAGCAAAATTTAGGCAGGTGACTTAGTTGAAAGTAGATAAAGTATTAGTGTCAGTAACATTTTTTAACTCAACTCCTCCTATGGAGCATATTTATTATTTCAGGGAAGGGATTTTACTTTATTAAAACTGTACAAAACCCAGAATACAAGTTTTGCGTATAACTAGCTGATGATTCATTGAAATACAACAACAAATAAAGAATAGTTTTAGGAATAACGAGGGTGGAATTTTAAATATGGAAACCATGCTTTTACATGGCTCCAGCAGTTACTTGAGCCCCCAATAGTTGCCACAGATTTGATCAGAGATAAGTCTCTCTTACTTTTGAATACTTATGAGTGAGTGCCCTTGGTCCTGCTTTGAGCAATATCTTTAAGGCATTTGACTGTTTAACTGCAACTAAGATAAGTAATCTTTACTTTCGAATGAGCACGCGAAGGCCTTGCTTTGAGAAATGTCTTTAAGGAGCGTTTTATATAGTTTCATTTCACATCGGCATTTGCGTGATTGCCTGCAACTTTGCTCGGAGATAAACCCGTTTTAGTTTTGTTGAGTGTGTGTTGATTTCTTCGAGCAATATAATTCAGTTGATCTCGGCGGTTCAGTGATCATCCGTAACTTTACCTAGAGATGGGTCTTCTTTACCTCTAAGTGATTGCGCCTGACCCGGATTTTGGTATTTAGTATTTTTTGAAAAAGTTTTATATAACTCCAGTAGATTTGGTCCACTTTTAGGAGAAGCAATTTTGCGATCCATTTAGTGGGTATTTTATTCAGTGCTAGTCTGTTTGTGAAGGAACTACCAGTGCAATAGTATAAAGATGTATACGTAGCTAATTTCGCTGGTAGTTCAACAAAATAATTTTATTAAATGCAATAATTCCGAAACACTAAATAAAAATATTCTATAGTGCCACGTATTCCAAATATTGTTTAGAGCTATTTCCATCGACGGGTTAAAAAGTTGGGTATTTGAACCATATCCAGAAATGCAGCGTTTCCGTGCCAGTGTGGATTCCGGAAAGAATATTGTTGTTTTAAGTGAAAAACAACAGAAATATCAATTTGTATTTGGTGTAGTTTCACCAATATTGTACAGTTATTTAGTATTAATGTAATACATATTTATGGACAAAATATAAACTATTCAAAACGTGCAAATTCCAGAGTGCAAGCTGCTAGTAAAAAAACTAACTATGGATTTTTAAATCGAACAGGCAAACTAAGTTTTCATGCATGATGAGAGGAAGAATATAAAAATCTAAAATAGGCTAAGCCAGGTATATTTAAAAAAATGGAGAACTTGGAAACCTGCTTAGCAGCTTTAAAAATAATCAATAGCAATTTCTCCTTTCTCTAAGATCAATAAGTGTTCATTAGCCCAGTCTATTACTAGTCGTGATTGGCAGACGATTTAAAATTTGAATACAAAAGACATTTATAGATTTTATAATTAATACAAAATAGTTATATTTATACGAGAATTTAACTGTGAAATATCCGTGTTTGCTTCCTCGAGGTATTCAGCACGTCCTTACTAAACAAGGCCCAATGAAAGTCACTGATATCTAACGATATGTAAGAAGCTCAGTTATTTAGACCTGAAGATTTTGAAATCGCCATTGCCTACTCTAGTGATTCCCAACCTTTTATTGTCCTTCCGGAAGCCTTTAGCGCTCACGATACCCTGTTTAACATTCCAGTGGTATTTATAGTGTTGGTTTGATTGGTAGATTCCAAATCCCATTACGTACAAACAATTCATGCTCAACAAAGTGAAAACATCTCGAAAAATAATTAATTTTTTTAAGCAATGAAACTAGAAAGAACGTGGAGTTTTCTGTCAACGGAAAAGTAAAATCAATTCTGTGCCTAGCCTAGGGGCCCCTCTACAACTGCTCTGTCCCCCCCCCCCCCCTTAGGGGTCAGGAACCTGGTTGAGTATCGCGGGCCTACTCTCTTTATAACATTCTGAGTGGTATTCAAGTAGGAAGGGATTTGAGCGTGTTGCATTTTTTGAGTTTATTAATAACAATGCAATAAAACTAGTCACTCAGCATGCTAGTCTATAGCCATTTTACATGGTTAACCGCAGATGTAACTTTACATTTCAGTGGGTCCCAACATTTTTCTTTAATATATTTGCCTATTTTGAGATTCTTTGATCCCCCTCGCTCTTCAAGGAAACGTTGTTGTTCAATCTTCAAAAGATCCTTAGCCAATGGTACGAGAAACTAGCACCCTGGCTTTTATACACTTTGATAGTTTGTATTCTGCCCATATATTTGTATTAAAATATTAATAAACAAGTAAGAACATCAACCATATTACACGCAAATGAGTGCAATATATCTTCCCAAATACAACATTTTCTCCCGAAATACAACAAATTTTCTTTTTTGAGTGGAATTCTACAACGGTTGAAAAACGCTGTTACATTATTTGAGTTATTCAGTTTTAAGTCTGGGAAACGTTTGGAACTAGGTCAAGAATATCAGTAATACAACACACAAACAGAAATTATTAGATATGCATTTCTTCCCCGAAAATACAAACGATTTCCATCCAGGTTGGGAAACGCTGCTATATTGCTAAGTTTCGAAGCCTAGAGTCTAGGAAACGTTTGAAACTAGGTAACTTTAAAATGGAAAGTCCTGGATGTGTTACGTATGACATTGATTAAAATACCAACGTCTATCAATATCACCAGTTTCGTTATTACACGGTAATAGATGTCAGTAAACTGAACGTAGATACAGGTGTGATATGGTATAGTAGCAATACCTTGACTTACTTAAATATTGGTTGCTTTCTGAATAGTGAACTAAATTGGGAAATTAGGACTTTAGTTTTGAAGATGTATGGTCAATAAAGTATTCTATTGTCATCTTGTCGATTTCTTTTTGTGATAAGTTGATTTGAGTTCAGTTGCTATCTAGAAACCTACGTAATTATTATTTACGTTGTGAACTTAGCGATTTTATTTGCGATTACTTGATTGAGTTTAGAGGTCAATTATGAAAAACTAATTCGGGCGATTTTGAAGGTTTTTTCAATTGTTTTGGGGCGCGATTTTGAGCAGTGAAACGAATTTTATGGCAAATTCGAACTTGAGTGGATATGGCGAGCGAATTCAGACAAACTTGAGGGCAAATTAAAACAACTTGAGAGTAAATTAGGGAGTTTTTATAAGACTAATTTGGGCAATTTTATTGGTTGAATTTTTGTTGTTTTGAGAAGCAAATTTGGGTGATAAAATCAAATTTGATGGCAAATTTGGACGATTTTGAAAATCAAATTTGAGAGATTTGGATTCAAAGGCGAATTCGGTCGATTTTGTATGACAATAACGCCATATATATTCAAAATCATTAATTTAGGTCTTGCGTCACATTTAGTAATCATACTTATAGGGAATTCGGGCTTCTTTTTATAATTGTCACGTTGTTATGATTACAAAAGCACAATTACAAATTTCCGAGTAATGACGTACGCAATGTTTTGTTAGAACTATCGATTTAGCATATTGTTTGTGTAAGCATGTTGACAAAGTTTTAAATTCTTATGGATCGTTTTCAAAAATTTTATAGTCTTAGTGGGATGCTTGAAGTTTTTTTTATAATTTACTTTTCTCAACAGGTAATAAACCAATCAACTTAAAATTTTCTATATTTAAGGATAGAAAAAGTATCCTTCTGGAAAACATATTCACGTTTTTCCATTTTTGTCTGAACGCTACAAAGCTCATACTTTTATCCTGAAATTTTGCTATGTTTTTAATGATGGAAACACTCGTATAGGACATCTGGTACATTCCCTCATACATGCCACAATTTTGTCCACACTTGCCAGAAATTTTGCTGAAATCTCGCCAGTCATTTGACTTTTCGTGCTCATATAATTGTGTATTGTTCTTTTGTTATTATAACCCCTCCTTTAATCTTGTATCGTGAGAGCCTGTATCATCGTGGTACATTTACGATTCGCTTTGTCAGCAAGTTGAATACTTTTTCATTAATATTTCATTAAGTTTCAATCGACCGAAAATTTAGTAGTAGAAAAACTAGGGAAAACGTGAAAAATTTTGGGCAGAACAATGTCGCGCTGAAAGATATGTTAGTTTATCTCAGTGACAAAGATGTCCAGAATTACGCCAGTAGATAGTCATGAACTGGGAACCTTTGATGAAACTAATTGCGGAGTAATGATACATTGCTATGTTTTGATGCAACTATCGATAATATAATAATTTCTCTCTTGTGTTGTATCTTGTATCGTAGAATAGCGTTGCACGGGATAATATACAGGGTGGTCACTAGAAAAGCAGCTAATATGAAGGTAAGATGAGGGTACTCCCGAAGTATAAACCAAGATGGCGGACACCGGAACGTAGTATGTGCACCAAGTTAGGGTTAGGTCATGATTTCAGGTACAAATACTACGGGAGTCACTTGGCTAGTCCCAGAACTCGTAATAGAACTAAAATAGAGAAAATTGAAATGAAAATTAAGGCCTAACCATAAGCTAGTACACATACTACGCTCCAGTGTCTGCCACCTTGGTTCACATACTTCGGAGTACCCAGATGAGATCCCGAATAAAATGCGTTTAAGTATAAGTGGAATTGAAACGATATCCCACAACTAGAACTTCAAAACGCCACACGAGCTTGGACTTCAAGTTTGAGATACTGTTCTGAAATGCCCCGACGACATGTTGAACATCTACGAGTGTGATTTAACTTTAATTAAAAAACGTTTAAAAGTTATGCTTTGTGAAAATAAATTTTATGTTTTTCTAGCGACCACAGTCACATTGAAATTTACATATGGGTCGATTTTTGCTACAGAGATGTTAGTATACAGCCTGAATTTTAGTAAGCAAGAGTAGTCATGTTTGCTTTCGTAAGATCTAATGTAAATCAAACTTTACTGTTAATACAACCTTATAGAGTTTTCATTATTATTTTCAGACTTTTAACACTAATTTCAAGTAAAACCATACTAAAAATATTAAACCTTGCATCGGATTGTAACTTAGACGGATTTATCAACATTGAATGACCTAATAGCATGGATTTCACAAAAGCAGTTATAATAATATGTAAGTAGTGTTTGCGTGCGTTATGCGTATGCGTAAGTAAATAGCATAATAACGCAGGTAAACAAAGAAGAATATTGTATAGTACATAGTAAAAGTAAAGACGCTTTGAAAATTAGAATAAATGCAGTATATATACCTCTAGTGGATTTTAAGAAATAAGGTAAACAAACTCGCTCAAAGCCTGATAGCAAAGTTGCAAAGGACTTCTGGTGCGCGTAAAGCTATCTGTAGACTTGATGTCAGAGATGTCACTTCATCAGATAGCGATCGGCATGATACTTAGAACAACTTTCAGAGATAAAATTATATAAAAGACAACGCTTTTCCACTAAAGTCCTTCCAGTCCTGAGGTTCTTCCAGTGGCGTTTAAGCGGTGCCCCCTCTTTAGAATTTGTTGAGTCTCGCGCACCACCTCAAAAATAACTAGCTAACAACGAGCTACAATTAACAGATAATAAAACGAGAGTGTTTTATTAAAAAACAACTTGCAAATACGTGGATGGAACGTAAATATCCAAAAAAAAATCGGGCAAGATCAAATCTAACAAATGTTTTTATTTTTAATTACCTTCACGCCCCCTCAAAAATTTGTCCACGCCCCACTAGCGGGGCTACCAACATCGTTTAAGAACTATTGCACTGAACCATTGCGCCTAATTATTTAAATTATTTTCACTTTCAGTTCTCTCACAACTTCTGGCAACGATAGTTCATGCACAAGATATTTTCATACAACCTCGGGGATCAGGATTTATTGAAAGCATTTATCTTCAACAAGGACTGAAATATGAGTTTTCGTTTCCCGGTGAGTAGAAATCCATTAAATCAGGATTTAACATGGGGTAAATTGATTATTTTGGAGAGTAAATATTGACCCACAGCTGCAAAATCGGTAATTCCGTAGTATGTGAACCAAGAAGGCGGCCACCGGAACGTAGTATGTGTACCAGACTAATATTAGAGAATAATTTTACGTATAAATACTACGTGAGTCACTTGGCTAGTCCTCGAACTCATATTAGAACTAAAATAAGATAAAAATGGAATGAAATTTCTGCCTAACCCCAACCTAGTACACATACTACGTTCCGGTGTTCGCCATCTTGGTTCACATACTACGGGAGCGCCGCAAAATCAAGCTTCAATACAATCGATAAGAGACGTAGGCGCAGTCGTTAATAATTGAACACTACTTATGGATCGTTTTGCTTAATTGTAGGGCTCGAGTGTCAGTATATGTGAGCTCTTGTTTATGAAAGTGTACATTACCTTTTGCCCTTCTTATCAAATTGTAGTCCGGCTGAACTGAAAGTAGTTGAAGTATGATGTTATCTCTTAACCACATTGGTACGCTCAGAGAATTAGAGTATTAGATGCTACGATACGAGCTATTCAAACTGTACAGACGCGAATGTTTGAGTTGCACGTGTCACTAGCTAATGATCCTAAAAATATTGTCAATTGAGAAACACAAAATCTTTTTTACTCCAGTGAGAGGAGTGAATGATGAGTTTAAGAATGAGCAAAGACAGTCATATAACAACCACTGCTATATATGTAGTGTTCGGATTCAAAATTTAGGAACTCTTTTATAATGAAATCGCTAATAACGGGTTCCCTGATATAAAGGAATGCATGTTACTATATACATTAACAAGACACAGTTTACATTAATTTCTAGTACAAAACTCTCCAAACGCCAAATATGACGCTAGTTTTTAGTTTCCGTGCACGTAACCAATTTGCTACGGTCGTCTAACGTCTAAAAATGAGCTGATTATCACAACATTAAAAGAACTGGTTCACCCGAACCGCTAAATTCCATAATTGCTGAAATGTTTTCTACATGTACAGGTTTACCGAACCCCAATGCGATCATAGTATTTGACGTTTTCAAGATGGAAGGAATACGCAACAGGGACTTTATGATTTACAGTAAGTACTTTGTATATTAGACGCCATCACTTTATACGTCTTTTCGTACGAATTTTTATCTACTAGTTCACTAAGTTCCAATATTATGTAGGCAGTTACTAAAATTTTGGAGAAACGGATTTTTCCGGTTTAACAATGCCTACTAACATTATTACATATTTGATATGGTTTTGAACCCGAGATCGTTAATGTCAAGTCCATGAATGTGAAACAAATAACTGGCCAACTAAGTTCATACTCGACATGGACTGGTAACCGACGAGAGGCCGTGGTTCGCCATATTATCAAACCGTCTTAAAGTCTCCCCCGGGAAAAATATACAAATCCTATTCTATTTACATTAAGTACTGTGTATGTTAGACACTTGTAGATGCAAGTTAACACACATTTTTATACGACATATTTACACTGTTAATTCCATACTACAAGGTTCTCTACAAGCCTTCCGGTGTCGCCGCTCAATGACCAGTATTGGTCTTCACCATATTTATTACACCATGTGTGAGGTGGCGGCATGAGATTTGAACCATTCCTTTTTATTTTCTTGTGATGCAAACATAGTTAAATCGAACGCTTCGCAACCAAGAAGAATTTGGAAATTCCAACGGAATGCTATCATATAAAACACGAAGCATAAAATCTATTTAAAATCGGTAACCAAATTTTCACTATTGTAAATTCGGATACACACAGTACAAATGGTTATTTTTATTTCAGAAAACCAAAAAATATTCCACGGAAACTTTGTAATTCTATTAAAAACACATTCTAATGTACAGCGTGATTGTATTTTCATTTTTAAATCACGAATGCATTTCCATCAAAGTCGGCTCAGCTGTCAAGTCGTTATTGGACACGAAATGGACGTGTGGGCCGTTTTGTTAAATTATTGCTATTGATGTTGTGAAAAGAAAACACTTTCCTTTACATTTCGTGTCCCAATCGATTCAAAAGTTTTAGTACATAAAGATTGAAGTCGCGATGAACGCTATGTCCCCACATGTTGAAATTTTGTCTTGGTGTTGATGAATTGTAGCGAAAATTACATAAAGAAGATGCCGATGCATTGTCAGCCCAGAAAAAATTTGAAAGGAATCAAAATTTATAGACTTCTAGCGGCTTCAATCATTATCGTTATCGGATACGAAATGGACTTGCAGATCATTTTGTCAAATTATTGCTATTTTTGTTGATGTTGTGAAAAAACGCTTATCTTCACATCTCCTGTACCAATCGATTAAAAACTATCAGTACATAAAGACGATATTTAGAAATACTAGGCTTTAATTCACTAAAATATTAGCACCACCTAAAAGCAAATAATAAATGATAAAGCACCAACAAGACATGACTCAGGTGAATGTAAACCAAGTATGACTCGACAGATACTTTTACCAGTAAACAAACACAATAAGTTGGAATACTAAACTATGTTATATAAATTATCACAATAGACTTCCAGCATCTACAATTATTTCCAAGTACTGAACATTCAAAATCCATTGGTCATTAGTTGAGGAATAAGGCTAATTTTGATTTTTCCAAACAACGATGTAACAAAGCGATCCATAGGATCATTGTCTGTGTTCATTAACTTTCAATTTACGCGATTTAATATCAAAATTCATTAATATACTCACTTAATTGCGACGAGACGTATGCACAGACGATTAGCTAGATAAATCTACTAATGGCAAATTGAAGAACACAGACTGACGTAGCACAGTAAATAGTCCAGTGAATGGCAGTAATTCTAGCGTGTTGGGATAACTATGTTTGATACTGGAATGGAACTTTATCGTCTCACCCAGACTGTGATAAATACGCCGAATCAAAAAGATTCTGGTTTCCCAAATAAAGATCCTTTACCCATCAGTTACGGCTCGCTCGTTTGCTCCGTGCTAATGTCTAAATTATCCATTTATGAATGGTGCGAATTTGTTGGACGAATTTTAATTCGAAACGCGCTTGGTACAGACAATCTCACCCGGTTGCCCAGCTAACTATTGCTAAAGTTATAAACGTTTTCAGTGAAATTTCAGTCAATTTTACAAATTTTTTGCAGTTCTATTAATAAATATTGATTGTTTAGTTAGTTTGATAACAAGAATTGACGTCATTTCGACGGGAAAATTCTAATGATTGTAACCATATAATTATGTTTTATTTTCAAGCATTATGACGCTTGAGACGTCGCCTTAATCAGAATGTCTATATTCCAGTGTTAGACGTTTACCTATTTTTGTGTTCTTAAAATCACACCCATTTTTCTTATGACAGCCCAACAGCTCCCACAGAAGAGGCTTTTCGATTTGGACCATATATTCATCCGTATACCTAAACTGCTGTTTTTATGGCAGCCTAATAGCTGATTTCATATGCCGATTTTTGGAATGAAGTTTTTCTAACATCTGCAACAATTTTGCAAATTTATATATAGGCCAGCTCGTATGAAATGAACAATTAACAAACTCAGTCATAGTACAGATCAAGCAACGTTACTATAACGCATTTCTTTTGATATCCTTGTGTGATGTCAGTAATACATTCAAGGGATCATATAACACACATTTAAATTGCCAACTTCTGTAACCTTATATGACCTATATGGGCGAGATGTGACTCATATAGTCGCATAAGGCGTTTGATACGGTCGTCTTAACTAATTGCATATCTAAGTACGGGAACCCCCCATCAAATGCGTGTATTATGGGACATCTCGAGCAAAGCATTGAACTTGATATTTTACAAACTATTCGGACACAGATTAACAACTCACGCGCCATAGTTTGCTCATTATGTTATATCAGTTATTTCGACTGGTCTTATTCTAAAAATGCACGATTACAATTGTGCTACATATTTGCATAAAGTTTTTTTAACGCGCATCAGCAGACATACGTTATATTTTAGGAAGAATTCCCCGATTGCTGAATATTTTTGTAACAAGCTAATCATAAACTAGCAGACTATATTATTATTGGGCGTTTTCCCACATTCGTTGAATTTCAAAAATGTCATGTGGGTGTGAATATTTGCATATATTCTTTGCAAAGATTTTCCATCCATCAACACGAGTAAGCAGGCTGATGTTATATTTTAGAAAGAATTTTCCAATTGCTAGATATTGTTGAAACAACCAGACACAGAATAAGTTATAAAATAAAAGTTTTCAACTTTACGAAGCATGCTTACAATGACAAGAGAGAGAGAGCTTGCTTTTATGTATATTATCGACCATGACGCGGTTGATTAGTAGACCAGTGGTTAACCACATTAGTTCAAGCGACCGATTTTGGGAAGAAAAATTTTTGCAAAATATTGTGACCCAAGTATATGCTTATATACTAGGCTATATAGTGCTTTTATAGTCGCAAAATTCCCTGATCAATATAAAACAACCATTTTTACATACAATTTATTTTTCCAGAAATTAACTCATAGTGAGAAAGCTGCGCCTATTTTCCATAAGCGCGTTTTTTGGAATCGTGGCGTGGCTATACTTGAGCGAAGTCGAAATTGCCAAGTTTTTGAACTGTGATACTTCCCACATATACAGTTACTATTGAAAAACACTTCAATACAAATACGGCATAAACTATAAAATTTGCTTAAAAATAAAACAGTAAATTTAAGGTTTTTGTCAACAAAGGACTCAAAAAAAAGTGCAGGCGACCCAAATATTGGTGGGATCTATAGGAAATCAGCTCCACGTGTGAAGCCCTGTCTGAAGCAAAAAGTTTGAAACACTATAAGAAGTGAACTGCCGGGGTGGCGTAGCGCAGTAATGGGACTAGTAAAATAAGTTGTGCGCCCAGAATTAACCCCCCCCCCCTCCCCCTCGAACTGCCATGTGGCCCCGTTAAGGCGTAGCGGTTAAAGCGTTATAAGTAGCTGTGTTTGTATTGCAGATTAGACATTTCAAGTTTAAATCCCGTGTCTTCAATCTCACACAGGCTGTAATAAATTGGGTAAGCTATGCCGAAACGGATTCATGACCGTCAGGTCCTATCAACTAAAGAAGTAACCTTATATGGGGTCTTGTTCGGAGCGGAAACCGTCAATAGGTGTCCTATTAAATCATATAGGCATTGTCAGACAAAAGAAATACCACTTTCCGTGGAGTGGCAATAGACTCAAAATTTTCTTCATTTTCGCAGAGGATGTAATTGGACAACAAGAGACGCCATTTTGTATGGTTTATCATAAGAAAGAAGAAACAGAAGGAGGACCTTGCTATGACTTATGGAGGACAAAATATGGAAGATGCACCCTGAATTCAGTTACTGATGAAAACTGTACTGTGGCATTCAATCATAGAGGCCAGGAATTTGAAATGGAATACAAAATAATAGACTGCAAAACTGGTATGTATTTTGTGATATATTGTATAATATTAGCGGATTTGATGGTGGGTAACAATTTATAAAAATAGTTACTTAATGTCACGACAAAGTCGGGTATGTACTAACTGACGCTATATTTTTACTCCTACTCAAAAGCAGATGGTAAAGTAGTCATTACCAAAAGTTGAATTTAATTTTTTTCAAGAAAAATTGTTCAAAGCAAGGTCAGACGTTCATATTCGAGAGTGTCTGATACGATAAACTGTCACGTGCTGTGACTTTGTAACGTGTCCAGTAGACGACGTTTTGATTGGCTGCTTCGTAAGTCCCCATGTGTGTGACGTATGCATGTTTAGGCCAATCACGCCACAAAACGATAGACATATAAAAGCTGTCTTGATTTTGTTGCTTGCTCTCTTAGTCAGTGTTAAACTGTTACCGTTCGATTGTGTTGAACTAATTGTATCTTAATTGAATAAATAATACAACGTATTATTACATGGTGTCAGAAGTGGGATTCGAACCCACGCCTTTAGTCGTCATTCAGAGACCAGATTAGAGACAATTTAATACAATACACATTCATGTAATTTGCCAGTTCGGTATTGAAAACTCTAGTTATCGATATGAAATCGGAAATACCCAACGCTATATTTTATTTCTATTCTAGGAAGCGCATTCAACTACACAGGTTACTCGAAACCAACAAGAACGCTGGATAAAACGACAGGTACGTGATATATTTTCTGCAACTCACAAAATGTTTGAAATGACCAATGTCCACATACTATGAAATTTGATGGGCGCAAAGGACTCAGTAGCTAAAGCTTCGAACTTAGTTTTAGAAACACGAGACAATGAATTACACATAAGTGAACTTTTTTGTGTAAAAAAAAAATCGGTATAAAGATTCCGCGACACTTGAAGCTCTTTTAGCCACTGCGACTATGAAAAAAACAATAAAGTAGAAAATTCCACATAAAAGGAATCTTAGTAAAATCTTGAAGTCAGCCTTGAAGCACTCCAGGTTAATACGGTCAAGAAACAGCGATGAGGCTTCGAATTTTGCATATAATCTAAACTGAATCGACCTTAATCATTCAAGTGGCATGGCATTAATATAACCCGATTCCTATGTCACGACTTGTCTGATCGTAGAATATTGTCCTTTCTCTATATGTCAAGTCTAATAAATTTAGACATTAATGTCACGTCAAAGGTTATGCGTATTCGCTTTTAAAAACAAATTTGAACAATGCAAAGCTCTTGAAGAGGCATCGGTAAGTTTACACGCAGATATTAGACCAAGACAAGGCTCTACTTAACTAAACCATTTTAGGTGTGTAGGTAAAAAAAATGTACTGCGTCGTGGTGGCACGCATTGTGAAGGTTCAATTTTTATTAGGACTTGATCCAGTGGTATTCAAAGTGTGCCACTGGGTAATTTCAAGTGCATCGCGAAATAAAAATCTAAATTTCTAAAACAATTTGCTAAAGGCAAGGTCACGCGAATAATCTCCGAAGTAAAGTCTCTATTTTATTCAAAAAAAAACTTAAAACGGCGGATTGCTTGTAAACCAGTACCGGTACTGGTTTTGAGTGTAGGCAATAAAGCAAAAAGCACTACCTGATCTATACATTAGAATTAATCATGCATGGCCAGATATGTCGTCAACAGACAAACAATCAATATATTATAATTGAGGGAACTTGGATATTGTGTATTGAACTGCAGGTCCTTTCTCCTTGTTTACTTTCTACTTCGGATCCGTATGTGGTACTCACCACAAGGATGCTTGAACGAGATAGTATTAAAGTGAAAAGTAAAAATAACATGATCTCTTTCAACGAAATAGTAAGTATATTTGTGAGCTTTCGTTAGATCATGGTCCAACTTCTTCAAACAATACAAGATATAACTGTAAATATAAAGATCACAAATTAAATTCTTGTGATCTTTATATTTACAGTTATATCTTGTATTGTTTGAAGAAGTTAGACCATGATCTAACGAAAGCTCACAAATATACTTACTATTTCTTTGAAAAAGAGATCATGTTATTTTTACTTATATTATAATTGACTCAAAGACGACTTTTCTGGTCAGCATCATCCCATGCTGAGAAACACAAAACACCATTGTTTAATTTGGACTTCAATTGTTTAATATAAAACAAAGTGAGAGATCTCATCAATATCATCTCATCTCAGTCACCCGCTGTTATTTAATCAAGAATTCACTAATCTTATACTGATTGTTTAAATATGTATGTAACCGCTTTTCTTGTTGTAGTTGAACTATGTATTTCTGAAGAAGTCTGACCTTGGTCAGATGAAGCGTTACAGAAATATATTTGTGTTAGTGTGCAGCAAGACTCTTGAATCACTTAAGATAGCTATCCTCACTCTTGCTACAGCATCCTTGCATTATATGCATACGGATCCACCGGCACAAAAGCATTGAAGAAAGATAAGTAGTTAGTCTCGCAGAAACCAGATCATTAGCACCGCTTTATAAGGCGAACAATTTTGAAAAAAAGGATATAAAGTTTGCCTTAAGGACCTTAAAATACGGTATATGTAAATATACAGTATTATGAAACATTACCTAGTCAAATTTGTTTTTAACGCCTGGTGATTTGTGATTTGCATTACAGAAAGTAAATGCGGTAGGAGTTTGAAAGTTATGGAACCTTCGACTTGGTCTATTTTGTCAAAGGTTCAATAACTTTCAAACTCATACCGCATTTGCTTTATGTAATACAAATCACCACCCGTTTGAAGCATATTTGGCTTTATTTTATCTATAATATAGATCCCTTGACTTAGTCTATTTTGACTATCATACGTAATAGGCTTGATCAATACGCAGTCATGATTCAGATATTTATACTGAGCCGGGGAACTTTACCATGGCCTAAATTCAAAGAAATATACAAAATGATAGATAGGATGGCTGTTAATATAAAAGTCATGGTTTTGTTATAGGAATATGTTTTTTCTAATTTGAATAAACTCCATTATGCCATTTATACAAAATTGGATATTTCACAGTGTTTTATGGCATTTAGTGTGAAACAGATCGGATATCTGGAGTGTTATCGAGCATTATCCCGAGGTTACGGTTTAGGATGTCCATCCCACGTAAGACGAAGCGTATTTGGAGTGTGAAATGAAATTACCTTTATTTCACTTGTACGCAAATATATAACGAGTTACGTATGATATATTCTTCTCTAAGTCCATGGGGTGAAATCGAATCGTTACGGAGGGTTATCGAGTATCACCCAATCGCGAGTAAATAAATCAAAAAAATGTCATCATCAACCTTCACCCGCAGCTCCTGGACGAGAGCACTGTGATAACATAACGCGAATTGCACGCAGGAGCAGTAGGAATTCTAACAGTAAACAGTTTAACAGTTTACTAAATGGCGATTTCCTGACATAAGCTAATTTGGTTATACAACTCTTACTACAACTCAGCTCTTACAACTTAATCAAATAGCGAATCATGAACGGTTTATATAATAAATTATCAATTCATGAAAATGTCCCAGGTAGTCAAACTGGGATAGGCTAAATGCCACGGTAACTGGCTAGTCCGGTTGAAATCGCTTGGGAATATTTAACTAACTTAAATTATTTCCATCTTCAAACATGTTCGAAAAGTTTATAACTTTCGGAAAGTCCGGAGTGAACTCGGTATAACTTCGTTTCAAAAATTATTAGTTTGAGAAACATTAATCATTGTGCTAAGTTTTAGTAAATTTCATTGGTCCAGTATAGCTTACCACAAGTACTCCAAGTTGGCGTGGCTCAACCATGTTTGCATATGTTATTCCAAACCCACATCTGACCACGTCATTCAAAATACGTCAATCACGTCAAAAAAGCTTGCCAAATATTGCCCCGTAGTCAGAGATGCGTTAGGAATGACATATGCAAATATTGTTGGACGACGTCCACAAGAAGTACCTGTGGTACTATACTATACCAGAACCAAGTTCTTGCTAAAGTAATCACATTATCCCTAAACCTGAACTAATAAATAATTTATAACTCACGGTCATTCAGCCACGCTCCCTAGAAGTACTTGTGGTACTGTACTATATCAGACCCAAATTCCCGTCAAAATAACCACATTATTCCTAAACTTGAACTAATAAATAGATATTAACTCACGCCTATTTTATTTCAGATTCCACCAAAACAGCTTCGTCTGGACTTCCAGAAAACTTCTTACTGGCCACAGTTATACCGGCAGCACTTGTAGCAATAGCCTTCGTCGCCATCGTCATCGCTGCTGCATGCTTCTGTAAAAAGTAAGGCATTGTTACGTAGATTATTTTTACGAAACAATACACTTTTATAAAAAGCGTAAATTTCATAGTTGCCAGATGTTTGAAATGCAATTTCATTTCCCGTTCAAAACATTTCATTTGGCGTAGATTTTGCAAGTGCATTCATCATATGTCGGACCAGGAGCCTATTGATTTTGGATGAATTATGTCGTATAATTAGCGAGGAATTAATTAATTAGAGGTGGGGCACAAGGTTTCACTATGGAGTAAGAGCGCTGTTTTGGGGGGTCCCGTAACTTTCCATCGATAAGTCTTTGGTCTCTGACCGATATTCTCGTTTATCTTTTGATAGCTAAGTGTACGCTTGGGTCGTTTTCCAAATTGTCGTAGCTGTTGAAGGAGCGCTTTTCATCGAGAGTGAGGTGAACAGAAGTAAGGATTTGATATTTATTCCGGTGGAGAGAAAAGTTGATGAGACGGTTTAATCATATAAAAACCACGGCTCCCCGTCGTGTTACCAATCCGGGTGTGGAATTAGTTGGCCAGTTATTTGTTTTCGGAAGCATGGGCCGTTACCAGCTCAAGACGGGATGTCTATAGTGGACCTGTTATTCGTCTCAAATGCGTAGACGTAACCTAGGAGCAACGGCCATATGAAAAAGCACTATCTGTTACGGGCTATACGGCGCACCTGGTTATAAGGCGCTTCGCCAATAAACTGCTTAGATTAGGTTTTATCCACACATAAGGCGCCATAAGATGTAACAGTTTAAGATCATCGTTTTAAGGAGGTACATGAATTGGTGTCCTATTTTGGAGTTGGCGCAAAATGCAAAAAAAGTTGGTATCAGTCGTATTTATTGAAATAACAATATCTTATTTTTAGAAAATCTTCGCCTCCTCCTATTCCTACCCTACCGGCAATAGAAGAAGATCCGCCCATATATGAGGAAATTCCAGCCAACTACGAACATATGATGATACCAATGGAAAACGCGTATAATCATTTGGATGGTGATTCTGAAATAAAGCCCGAATCAAGGGTACAGTACACAGCGAATGCAGGACAGGATAAGGATGGATATGAAACCCCAGTAATGAGATTACTTCCCCCGAGAGATGGGCGGAGTCATTTTTGATTGATTGATGGATTTGTAATATTAACAAATGGGAGGCGTGGCCCGGTGAGAAAAGCATCGAATGGATGTTTCTCCGAGCATCGATTTACTTGTTCATTTCCGCGACAGCGCCGAATCAGCGATGAGTCAAAAAGACGTAACAATGAAAATCAATGAAGCCACCCAGACACTTCTTTCGCACAGACAGACATTCCAGAATAGTTATAAATATTGCCTCGTTTTTTCGTGTTATTTGTCAGTTTCCGGCTGTGTGGTGCCAAATGTGGTATAAATCATCAAACTAAGCAACAAACTCACACGTACAGCTAGCCCCCTTCAACGCGGTGCCCGAGACGGCTGCCCTTATGACTTGGATCTCCATCCAATACTGCCTATCCCCGTATCATTTTACCGTGTGGGAAAGCTTTGAGTTTGAATCGAGTCTCAAGTAACTTGGTCGGCTCATTTAAAGGGAATGTTATAATATTTAGTGAGAATTAACTCAGAGATTGACTTTGGATTCAAAACTTTATTTGCGTCTCGGGGTTGTGGGTTTCCATCTATTGCCATTGTATCCAATATACAAATCCCCCAATCATTATATAGTGTTGGGCAGAAGGGTGGGGGGGGGGGGGGGCAAAATTTTTCATAGGGGGAATCTTAAACTTTTAATTGCTAAGTTGGACCGTAACAACCCGGGTGGAGGCCAAAAAATGCGTGTTTTCAAAAGTTTTGAGGGGCTAAAAGAGTTTCATGCGACCAAAAATTGCTATGTATGACACAAAAATTTTCGTTACATTTTCAAAAATAGGTTCAAATTCAAAACTTCTCTGGGTATGCTTCTTGTGTTGGGGAGGTTTGACCTGAGTCATCGTTTATCAAAGTCTCGCAGTTACTCAATTTATCCAAATGGAATGTTTAACTGATCGCTAGACTTAGCTCAGTTACTCGCTCGACATTGAATTCCATTCAAAATTTACTGCCCACACTGTTTGCTTGTCTAATAATTTGTTTGGAAAGAAAATGCAAAAACACATGGATGCAATAAAATACAGTATTATATTTTACCGAAAAACGGTAAACCGATTAGCTACTCAAATTGTTAAATACATTCGTATTGTTTCATTTTTATTTTCTGCTTTTATTTTACAATCATTTTATTTATCGTTTCTGTGATCATTAAACTTTGAAATTAAACTTTTTTTTGTTGAAAATGCTGAAAAACAGGGCTTACATTCCAGCAGATCTTAGTATCCCATTTTTAGGGGAAAACAGGGGCTGTTCGAGAGAGAAAGTGTTTAAAAAGGGCGCTCCAGAAGTGTATGTATCAATAGGGAAGTAACTAATTTTGTTCGACTACTTTTCATCAAGTTTTGTAAAGGAACTGAAGCCCATGTGCAGTGGGTATATTCACTTGGCTAACACAAGCGGTCCCCGAACTCGTAATGGAACTAAAATAAGAGAAAAAGGGGAAATAAAATTATGGCCTAACCTGGTATACATGAGAAGTATCAAAGTGTAATATCGTTATTCCGCTTTTACTTTCTGGAAATTGAAAGCCATTGGGTGATTTTTAAAGAGAAAGTCTATATTGGTCACAACAATAACAATTCAATTAAACAAGCGAGCGAGGATCAAATATATGGATACGGTGGCCAAAACGAGGTAGAAATAACTCTTTTGTAGTACTGGTAGTCAGACCACCAAAACGGCTGAAATACAATCATGGAACCGCGGCACGTTTCGATTTTTTTTTTGATGACGTCATCACACAAAAATTTGGAGTAAAAAAAGAGTTTCAAAGCCATAGCCACCATATTCTATATCTTGAACTTTTAGGATTTTGTATATGGACGGCCGCATTATTTTTTCACGGCGGCCGCAGGTTGTGCACCGTTGACCTAAACTGTTCAAAAATCGGGGGTGCGACTTGTGCATCATATTAGCTAATGATCCATTAACGATTGAATTAAACCTGTTCAAAAATACACGCGAGGAATGAAGAGTTCGTAAATATGCGAGGGGAAGAATTTAAAAAAAAAAATAGGTACCACTAGCCTTCATTAAGAACCTTAAATCGTTTCACGGACAAAATTTCCAGTGCTATACAATACATAAACGTATCTTTTTAATAGAATAGCTATTTTTATAGTTCTAGCAAAGCGTGTAATTAAGGTAATATAAGCAACATATTGTGGTTATGTGAGCATCGCATGGAAGTCCCCTTCATAATGATTATCGTCTAAATATAAACTAAATACAGGAATGGGATTTACATTTTTATCCCAGGAGAGAAGAAAGCTGATAAGTCGAATCAGTTATAATGGAAACCACAGCCCCTCGTCCTAATACCAATCCATGTCGGTGTGGGATTGGTTAGTTATTTATACCATGGACTTGAGGATTAAGGAAGCCGTAACCGACCAGCGGTTACGTGAACCACTTAAGGCGGCGAGGAGTCCAGCAATCCTCTCGCACTTAATTATCCCACACGGGATCCGAACTTGTGAATGCACGCAGGGTAATCAGAGGTGGCGTGGCAAGCGTATTCCTAATGCTTAGCACGACGTGCCACACCGCCAAACTCGTATTTAAAGCTAACAGCAGTCATGCATGGAACTCACGTCTCAATTTATTTTACGTCACCTCGCGTTGGGAATTTCGATTCTTAGCTATTTTAAAAATTGCGTCACAAGCTTTTTCCAACTTAACCTGGCATAAACAGAACTAAAGAAAGCAGATCAGGGGAATTAGTGGTGGGGTGATACCAGGATATTGTCCCACGCTCTAACATAAAAATAATTAGCTCACAATAAGCTACAAATAACAGATAGTAGAGCGTAAGTATATTTTATTCGAAAAACACGTTGGAAATACATGGATTGAACGTAAATTTCCAAAATAAAAAATGTAAATATCCAAAATAAGGCGGGAAAGATCAAATCCAACAAATATTTTTATTTTTAATTAGCTTCACGCCTCTCAAAATATTGTTTCACGCCCCCTTGTGGGGCGCTCCCAACTATGTGAGAACCACTACTTTAGACGATAGAAGACTGCAGAAAATGAGTATGTGCACCCCAGCTGACGACTAGGGTTATATTTGGCCAATCTCATTATTTTTTTCATATTTTTTAATCTCAGTAATTATAATACTTCAATCTAATATAAATCGAAGATAACTTAAGATAAAACTAGCGATGTGGCGATAACAAAATAAACCCATATAGTCAGGTAGTTATTGCTACACGATATTAGCATAATAATACCACCGTGTTATTCCTTATTGCCGTGTTTGACAACAGCATTACTTAGCGCATGAAAATATTTCCGCTCTGTATTGCGTCATAATAAAAATTATAGTTACGTGGTTATACTCATTATAACGACGCATGATTTGCGTGAAACTAAAACAAAATAGAAAAACTAAAATCATGACGTGATTAAGCGAAATACACCAGGAAGTTTGGAAAACGCTAGTCAGAGGTAGAGGCAGTTTGGGGAGTGCACTGTATTTTAGGTGCTCCCTTACTGTGTTTACCAAGTTAAGTTTAGGGCATAATTTTATTCCGATTTTAGTTCTATTACGAGTTCGGGGGCAGTCTGTATTAGTCAAGTGAATATACCCACTGCCCATAGGTTTCAGTCCCTTTACACAACTTAATGTGAAGTAGGCGAACAAAATTAGTTACTTCCATATAGGTACACACAATTCTGCAGCGCCGTATTTTATGCCAAAGGGTTTTTAAGAATTCCAGTTATGTGCAATCACTACCTAACAGCTGGTTTCGGGATCGTATTGACATAACTGCTTTAAATTTGTATCAATCGGCGTTTACTAACACAGAACGGAACGCTATATTTTTATATGGTTACGATAGATCTTAGCATTGTAGTGATCGCCGGTAACTTTACCCACATATTTTGGAGTAATTTACTCCGGAGTAACTTTATTTAGTGAATAACGAATGCGCGTAATGCACCACCACTGTTTTATTTAGTTTTAGTAGCTCATTACATTACAGTGGTAGCCATAGCGATTTAATAGAGATGAGTCTTTCCTGCTTTCCTTATATATGAATCTTATTGAACTGACGTCTGTAATGGTTTAAGGAAACGGGTCAGAAATTGTACATCTGAAATACGTCAATCAAAATTTAGATGAGATTTGAGGACGATAACTTTGATTGGACCATAATTAACGAAAAATTTGTATAAAATGAGATGATTAAAGAAAGGATATGTATATATATTCATGCAAGTTTGCTCAAAGCAAGTGGAATAGTACTGATACTAAAGTTGCAAGTTTGTTCAAAGCAAGGTCCCGAGCCCTCAACTAAAAGTGGAAAGAGTAGTGATAGAAGAGTTGCAAGTTTGCTCAAAGCAAGGTCTCGAGCCCTCAACTAAAAATGGAAAGAGTACTGATAGAAGAGTTGCAAGTTTGCTTAAAGCAAGGTCCCGAGCCCTCAATTAAAATGTAAATGGTACTGATAGAAGAGTTTAAAGTTTGCTCAAAGCAAGGTCCCGATGCCTCAGTGAGGAGAGTTGCATGAACTCCCGTAGATTCTGATGAAACAGACGCTTCTGATAAGTTTTTCGCGGACCATAACCCATTGCCGGGGACTAATAGAATACTTCTCAATGTAGCATTGAAGTTAGTATGCCTGGGTCAGACAGTGCGTTCTACACGACGTCAAAACGTATGCGATGAGTTGGCAAAAATTGGAGCGTCTTGAATGGTGACTCATCTAATAACAACATGATTAACACGAAATAGAAAGTATATTTGTAAGCTTTCGTTATATCGTAGTTTAATATTCAACTTTTCCAGACGAAACATAGAACAATAGAATATTTAGGTTCATATAGATTCGGATTAGAGAGTCAACAGAGAGAAAGGCCTTGCAGTTCAATAAACAATATTCTTATGTACTGAATAGTGTCAAGCTGTTGAAAAGTACGGTAATATTTTTGGGGATTATCTGTAATTTTAGGGCTCCAGGAGTGTGTGTACCAATGTTGAGGTAACTAATTTTGTTCGCCTACTTTACATCAAGTTGTGTAAAGGGACGGACGCATATGGTCAGGGGGTATATTCTCTTGACTAACACAGAAAGTCCCCGAACTCGTAATAGAACAAAAATAGAAAAAATCGTAAAATTATGGCCTAACCCTAACCTGGTACACACACTACAGGAGTACCGTAATTTATCTACGATATTGTATAAATTCCACATCGATAAGACTCTGTTTTAGCAGCCAAATAGATAAGGAGCTGTTGTGATTTGTGTCTTAACCTTCCCAACCTGCTGGTGTATACTGTTCGTCCTTTAATAGCCTGGGGTTTTGAGTTGAAAGTCATTCTTTGGTTCGTGCTGCTTTAAAACTCTTAGATGACGTTTGAGCTAATAAAAGCCTAAAGTACGACCTTTTTGTTAGGTTTATCACGGGAGTTGCTATGTATTTTGGGGAGACCAGTGACTTTTTGGTTTTTAGCACAATTAATCTTCCCCGGATTCTTTGGTACTTCGGTATCATTAGTACCAGGTTAGGCCATATTGTTATTTTGATTTTCCTTATAATAGTACTATTATGAGTTCGGGACTGTTTGTGTTAGTCAAACCTCCTACCCA